TCATAAAAATCTTTTTATCTGGAATTTATTAGTTAGAATTTGAGTTGACTAAAAATCAATAGGTCATCAAGCATTCAGTTTAATTGATGTTGTGGTCTGTTATGAGAGTAAAAAGGGTTTCTGATGATTGATTGTTGTGATGTGATTACAGATATTCAAAGCAATTAATTAAGTAATTAGTGCATAATTAAATTAGAGGATGGTGTTAATCATTTTTTTTTTAATTATGAAAGATGGAGTGGTAAGGAGACTATCATACCCTTCTCGGAGCTGAGCTTTGCTCTTCAAGCAAGGAAGGTGAAATTTAACATTTAGACGGCATATGGTATGATATAAAAATAAATATATGCCAATTATTATTGAAAGAGTAAATATTAAAGGTGTAAAGAAAAGGAAGAGGTGTTTTACTGTATTACTCTTTATATATCACTCTTTACTAATAATAGTATATTTTTTTCCTTTTAATCTATTTTTTAATTTTAATTTTATTATTAAAAATTAGATTTAGTGAGGATTAAATTTTATATTCTTTTTAATTTATTTTTTATGAGGCTATCCTAGATTTATAATTCAGACACGAGTTTTATGAGTTAACTCAATTACTCTAGTTTTTTTTTCTTTCTTTTAATTGACCTTTTCTTTTTAATTTTATCTTTTAATATAATATTAATAAAAAAATAGACTTTATAATTTATTTTAATTTATTTTTTATAAGATTATTCTCATGTTATGGCTCAAGCCATAAGTTTGATATATCTTGACTCGAGGTTATCCTCTCTTTAATTTTATTTTTTAATATATTATCGTATTAATACTTATAAAAAAACCTCATTTTATATATTTATTTTAAATTAAATTATATTTTTATTAGTCATTTATATTGCTTTTGAATCAATCAAGATGATCGAGATATACTAAATTAATTCTTATATGGTTTAATTTTTTTTAGCTAAAGAAAATATAAGCAAGATCTAGATATATTCTTTATATTAAAAAAATTCTAATCTTAACCGTGGGTGAAATGATCTAGTTTAGTTACATAAAGTAGAAGAGAGATTATAAAAAATGGATTGACATTGCTTGCTTGCCTGATTGAAGAGGGAATTTTACCCTCCGTCATTAAAAACAAAAAAAAACACCAATTTATGGGTAATCACTGCATTCCTCGATATATTATATAATACATAAGGTTATTGATAGAGTCCCATAAAATCGAATGGTATATATACCTCAAAAAATACCAATACATAAGGTGGTGGGCAAGGCAATTATCATTTTTAATTCAAATTATGAATTTATTTTTTATTAAAAATTAAAATAGAAATTAATGATCTATAGCCATGGTATTTTGCTTGAGTTTTCTTTTTCTTAATGTTCTTTGTTTCTAGAAATTTGAGAAAAAAGGTGACGGCAATATGGTTTTGTTTTTGGTAGCGTGTCATTTCAACGAGGGAGTGAATTTGACTAGAGGTTGACGCCACCACTTCTAGGTTTTAGCTCGCTTTAGAATGATGGCGAAGAAGGACGGACACCAAACCATTGCCTATTGCAGCTATGGTCGCAGCCGCGGACAATTAGCGTGCGATGGTGGTTAGCTAATTTGTTATTGAAGATAATTAAACTTTTGAAGAAATTATTTGTTTTGTTACAAGGAATTATTTTTTTAAATTATTTTTTTAAATTTTTTTCTATTAAATATTTTACAGGAAAATTAGCATTGGTTATTAATAATATTTTCAGTATTACAGTTAAAATATTATTTGTTTAAAATTTAATTTTTTTATTTAAGATTATATTTTGTTAGTATTTTTAATTTTTTTATATAATCATATCAAAAAATAATTTTTTTAAAAATAAAATTTATTATAATATATTTCTAAATAAAAAATATTTTTAACCTTATTTTTTACCAAAATCACAAATAAGCACTTTTATGAATTTTCTGAAAAAAATATAAAAGGTCAATTTGGTAAACTACACATTCCATCCAATAGCATGAAAAACCGATATATTTACAAGTCAATGAATCAGAGAAGACAGTGTGCGTGTCCGAGAGAGAGAGAGAGAGAGAGAGAGAGAGAGAGGGGAATAATATAAATCGAAAACCAAAAAACCAGAAAAACCATTACACACCTCTACTGTCCCTTACATTACGGCCTATCTCCCTCCCTCCCTCCCTCCCATCCCAGCCAGAAACCGCACGCGCACGCGTCCAACACCACCAAAAACAACAACAACAACAAAACGCAAATCTCCGATCTCTCAAACAGTTTGCCACTAATGACCACCCTGTCGTCCGGTGGTCCTACCGTTAACTCCACCAATGCCAGCCCAAGGAACCACTCGGGTCCCACTACAACTAGACGACGAGTTGATGTCGCCCCCTTCGACAGAACCTCTAACTTCTCTGATTATAATCACGAGTTCTCTGACGAAGAAGACAATCTTAACGGCTCTTCCACTTCTGGGGGGGCCCACCTTTATTATCATTATCATAATCATAGCCACCACCACCCCGTTATAAAGTATCTTCTGCTTCGCAGGAAGTTGTTCTTTTTCGTGCCGGAGGCGTGTTTGCTTGGGGTGGAGGACTTGACGGCTACGATTTCACATGGTTTGAGATCCGGCAAGAACATGGGTCGTAAGATATTCGGTGTTTTATTGTTAATGGCGGTCTTGTCGGTTTTTCTGAAGGTTTTGTTTTGGAGTCGAATGGAGGAAAATAGTCTTGAAAATAGTAATTTAGTTCTTTTCAGACATTTTAAGGATGATTGGGCGAGGGCTCAACGTTCCATCATCGACCGCCACCCTTCCATTTCCACACCCCTGTTCGACAAGCTTCCTCCTGTAAGTCCTTTTTTATCACTTCCCTTTTGTTTCGTTCAAAAAAAAAAAAAAAGGAAGGAAACTTTACAGCCTATACTTTTCGTGTTTTTCTTTTTTAATTTTTTATGGATGGAATTTGAATCAACGATTATTAATATAAATCTGAATGTGTTTTATGAATCTTTAATTGTGCCAAGTTTTTTTTTTGGAATATATTAATTCTTTAAATTTATATCTAACAATAAGAGTATGAATCTAGAAGTTTTTTGTGTATTTATTTATTTTTCTGTTAAGGGTTGAGTTGAAAATGGGACAGAAGGGAATATGCGTTGGTGGTGAATTGGGAATGGTATGGACATCTTTTTGGTATTCTTTTTGACTCGCAAGAAAATCGATGGCAACCAGAGAAGCATTGAATTTTCCAGTAGAGGTGGCTTTGACCATTGTACTGCGTGTAAATGGGCTGCTTTTGATTGGTGTTTGAGATCGCCTTTTCTTGTTAAGAGATATGTTAAAATAATAATATTTTTTTATTTTTTTAAAATTTATTTTTGATATTAATATATAATTAAAAAATAAAATAAAATTTCAATGACCGTTAGGTTTTTTTTTCCTGTCTTGTTCTTTCCATGGCCGTTGTGACATAAGCATGATCATGAATTTTTGTCTGGATGTACTAATGCACGAAGAAAGAAGCCCTCTGTCTTTTCAATTATCTTGAATGTCTTTTATTCTTGTTTGCAGCAGACTCCCAAAATTTGGATGAAACCCAATAGCGACAACTTTTACAAGTGCATAGCTCCGGCAAGAAGTCAAACAAGTATGTTCTTAGCTCCTGTATCAAAGACTTATTAGTTAGTACCTTGCACTTGATGGATTCTTGACTGTTTTTTTGTTTTTTTGAAAATTTCAAATTGATCTAGGACCCAGGAAAACAAATGGTTACCTTCTTGTTCATGCGAATGGTGGATTGAATCAAATGAGAACAGGGGTGAGTTTCAGTATCCACGACACCCTGAGTTTGGTATCATAGAAAGCAATTCCAGTTGGTGCTGATTTGTTATTTTTTATTGATGGGCAGATTTGTGATATGGTTGCTGCTGCAAAGTTAATGAATGCAACTCTTGTTCTTCCTTCTCTTGATCGTGAATCGTTTTGGACGGATCCAAGGTATCATTCTATGTAATTCTAACTGTTGTGCAGTGGTCAAAACTTCAACTGGTTGTAATGCTGAAACTAAGCAATTTTGCAATCCCTTTCAGCACATTTAAAGACATTTTTGACTGGAGGCACTTTATGGAAGCATTAAAAGGCGATATTGATATAGTTGAGTATTTGCCACCCCGTTATGCAGGCAAGAAGCCCCTTGAAAGGGCACCTGTTTCATGGTCAAAGGTCTGAAAACAATACATGCATTTCCCCTCGAATTACCCTAAAACCTCCCCTGATATTGGAATCATAGCTTGGCTGCTTCATTTTCAGGCTAAATACTACAGAGAGGAGATGGCTGCTTTGTTGAAGAAGTATAAAGTTATAAGGTTTACCCACAGTGATTCACGGCTGGCTAATAATGGCCTTGCAGCTCACATCCAGAGGCTAAGATGCCGTGCCAATTATGAAGCACTCCGGTATTCAAAGGAGATTGTGGATCTTGGGAAGAAATTGGTTGATAGACTAAGAAATAACAACGAGCCATATGTTGCTTTGCATTTAAGGTACGTATCTACTGGTTCTATCAGCTTTCTCTTTACAGGAAAAATGCACTATCTGATTTCACGAGTACAAAAATAGCCAACTTACCAGCTCAATTGTTGACTAACAGATATGAGAAAGACATGCTTGCATTCACCGGCTGCAGCCACAACCTTACCGTGGAAGAGGCTGATGAGCTAAGGGATATGAGGCATAAAACTCCGCATTGGAAGGAGAAGGAGATTGATAGTGAAGCACGACGGCTCCAAGGTGGATGCCCGATGACTCCCAGAGAAGCAGCTATCTTTCTCAAGGCAATGGGCTATCCATCCTCTACAACTATCTATATAGTTGCAGGGCCGATATATGGAAGTGATAGCATGGCACCCTTCCTCGCAGAGTTCCCAAATGTGTTCTCTCATTCTAATCTAGCAACTGCAGAAGAATTAGAACCTTTCAAGCCGTATCAAAATCGTCTTGCTGCCTTGGATTACATTGTGGCTCTTGAAAGTGATGTCTTTATATATACTTATGATGGAAATATGGCCAAAGCTGTGCAGGGGCATAGGAGGTTCGAAGGATTTCGAAAAACTATAAATCCAGACAAGTAAGATAACAAACTCACTCTTTCATTCACGTTGAATTATCATCTTTGTTGGAAGTTGGACTTTTAAAATCAATCTAATGATAGAATGCATATGATTCCAGACGAAATTTTGTTGCGCTGATGGATCAGTTGGACGAGGGTACCTTATCCTGGGAAGAATTCTCCTCACAGGTTCAAAGCCTACATTCAGACAGGATTGGAGCACCGTACCGGCGGCAGGCTGGCTCATTTCCTAAGGAGGAAGAGAACTTTTATGCAAATCCTCTTCCCGGATGTGTTTGCAACAGCTCCCAGGATAAATTTGTGAGCCCTAAACTTGTCCATAAAGTAAAACTAAAGAACAGGGCTGCATTGAATAGACAGGGGTTAAGCTTGAATTTGTAGCTCGTGCAGTGGGACTATTTGATATTCATCATTACTTGAAACGTGGCAGCGTGGGTGTCTGCATGGAGCCGGTTTTGCCCAGAGAGGGGATTGCAGGAGCTGCCGGCAGGGTCAAGAAGTCTTCAGGTTTTTCTTTTTCATTAGACAGAGGATCGAACGAGCAATTAAGGGAAGCAGAGAGAGTCGGGCATAATTCTTAGGTGAATCATCGCAGTTACACCCACATGTGCAGAGAGATAATTTTGTCAGTTACAGATTATATATATATTTTTTTCATTTATTGATTATTTCATCCCTTTATACAAAATTAGATTTTGATTCATCCTTCTTGGCGATCAAATTCAGTTGTCAAATCAGGCATCGTTGTAAATTGGATGTGATAAATATTACTCATGAAATAAAATTATTCGGAATGTTCATAGCAATGCTGATGAATGTGAAATTTTTTTATGCTTTTCAAGGAGAAATAGTCATATTCTATCAGTTATAAATTTTTCAGAGCGTAACTCCACATTCAGACAACAACTTCGCAGAAAAGCCTCTAGCAATCTTTATTGTTTCGCTTTACTTTCTTTGTTTTTTTTTTTTAATTTCTTTCTTGAAATCAATCAGCTATTTTAATACTAGAAGTATGAAGATAGTCATGAACTAAAAAGAAATTAGGGTTACAGAGAAAGAAATTAGAAAATGCTTTATGATTAAAAAAAATGGCAAACCGTAATTTAGCTCAGGGTAAGCACCGCAAAGCATCAAATAAAAAAATTATTTTATTTTCAGGAACGGATTTGACAAAGGAGAGCACCTTTAAAAATGCAATTATGCGAGGACATTGAGGCATAAAGCAATATTTGGTCCCCTAAAAAGAAAAAGAGAGAAGCCAACTACCCATCATTGTTTTTTCTCTGATTATTTTTTCCCATCATATTTCATTAGTTAATGGTGATGGGTTATTTTAGACAACTTTTGCTTTCTGGGTTTTGATTTTTTCTTTAACTTAGTTTGTGTATTTGGTTTTTTAACGGGTGTAATTGGTTTTTTAACACGTGGATAAGAATCGATAAGTATTATCAAATAATTTATTATAGATATTGATTAGGTCTAGGTTTAAAATAAAAAAATAAAAAAACTTAAAATTTAAAATATTTAGTTAAAAGATTGTAAATCTGACTAACTAGATATTCATGTTCTTTTTAGAATATATCTGAAGCTTCAAGTGAAATTTTATTATGATTTTAATTGGGTTAAAAACTACATATCTCTAGATTTTTATTTATATAGTAGGCTTGGTATATCACCAAAATGAAAGAGAATAATATATTTGAAATTAGGCTTGAAATCTATAGACAAATAAGAAAAATAAAAAAATAATTGTTTTTCATATGATTTGTGGATACTTACATGGCAATGATTTAATGATATGTGAAATTCTTATTTTGAAAGGATTTCTTTACTTTTCAAGAAGATCAATTAGGCAAAATATTTTATTTTGTAAAATTTTTTTAGGCAACAACAATCCTTATTATTTAAGGAAACAAGAGGTGACTTTGAGCTTTTTTTCTAAGGAATATCTTTACACTAACAAATATAAATTTTGATCAAATTATTAGATTAGACTGAAAGTTTTCTAACTGATTCTAAAGATCTTGTGTTATATAAAGTTAAATTTTCATAGCAATTAGTGTTTGAAAAAGCTTTACAATAAAGTTTAGAAGCTACCATGTAGAAATTACAATATTTTTCTAGTTTGTTTAGGATTATTTTTTTCTATTTTATTTAGAAATCTTTTGTTATTTTTCTAATATTGTTTAGGATGTTTTACCTACTATAAATAATGTTATTAGCTTATACTTAGTTTTTTTCAAAATAATATTTTGTGTGATAAAGTTGCTCATACTCTTAGTTTTTTTATTTAATTTTTTAAAATTTATCAAAGATTATCTATTTTTGTGGCGTTATGTAAAACCTCGGTTAAAATATTATGATATAAGTAAAATGCTAGAAATTTAACTTGATGATTAAAAAACATGAATAAGAAAAAATAATAACATATAAATATTAAATGATTAGAGATGAAGATTTATAAATTTAAATTTTAAAGTATGGTAAGCCTTAAAAATAACTCGAGAAGGGATACTAGTAAACAAAAAAAAAAAACTAAGAAACAAGGGTAAAATTATAAAAATGAGTTATAAAGAAAATATAAATAGAAACTTGGCTTCCAAAAGAAACCAAGTTGGTCGGTCATGTGTAGAAGAAAAGGAGAGGAGAATTGCATCAAATCCACAGGAAATTCTTGCTATGAAAACCAAAGAGAGATAAATTAAAGGATTAAAGGGAGATTATGAAAGGATTTAAGTAAGAAAACTTAAGAATATCAAGGGTTGCTTCTAGAGTGGGGGCGACTTTGAAGAGAAAAAAGAGGAGGGGAAGAAGCGAGTAAAAGATCTTTTTTATTGTTCTCATTTCCTCAATTTAGTGTGCTTAAAAGGTGGGGAACCTTGATTTAAGCTAAGTTTTAATTATTCATGAGAATTTATGTGTTTTACCTATGAAAATGATATGAAAATTTGTGTTTGAGTGTTGGAATGACTACATGGACATTTTTATGATACATCGAGATTAGTAGGCATGAAAAAACTCTGAGCATGATGTTAATGGAAAGAACTAAAGAAGAAAAACGTACCCCCATCACCTTATAATAGGTTTTGGCCTAAGTGATGGAAAGAGGACTTGAAGTAGCTTGATATAATTGTTAAGTAAACCATGTAGAATCATATTAGCTAGATGATAAATGAGTAGACAAAGTATTAATTTTGAAGGATTTGTAAAGAAAAAGAAAGAAAGAAGAAGACCCTTGGTTTAACATGTTAAGGTTCAACCAAAATAAAAAAAAAAGATCGATGTTTCAATTGAGTTTTCGACTTAGATAACCTAGGTTCATAGCTAGGATGAATTGAAATAAATAAGTTTAGTTTTGATTAGGAAAGAATCGAAAAATAAGAACTCATAGATATAAAAAGTAGGTTCAATTTTCATAGTAAATCACCGGGATTATTAATCCCAATTGAAATACTTGAATTTGGAATGATTTAATTGCATAATTGGAATATATATAGAACCTAGAAATCCATAATTTCATAGTGCAATGTTCAATCAAACAAAGAAGAAAGAATGAAGAGATAAAATAGAGTAAGTAGTAAGAGGAAATGAAATAAAACAAATGAATAATGTGCCATTAAATGAAACTAAAATAAAGGTTTCATGAAAAGATTAAAAGCATGACATTAGGACCAATTAAACCTAGGATATTGACCTAGGGATAGAAAAATAAAAGAATTTAGGTCATAATGAATTGATGAGAATAAATGGAAATTTAGGGTTACCTAATAATAATTGAGATGCAACTTAAAAGGTGAAAGGATTAAAATATTAGACAAGAATATGAAAAGTACAAAATTTCAAAAACTTAAAATGAAAAATGAAGGGAAATTTGAAAATAAGACCTTTGCATTAAGGATCTTGGTAAACTTGATTATTTGCGAGTAAATGATGCAATTATTGTTTATAAATGGTCTATTTGTTTTGTATTTTGTGCTCAATTTGCCACTTGAATTGTTATTGTTTGGTTATTGAGTTTTTTTCCCCATGTTTATATGTAGAATAAAATTAGAATTCTCAATACCTTGTACAAAATTTAATTGTGAGAGTTAAGTCTCAATATAAGAAAGTTTTCAAGGGTTAGAAACAACTTTTGGCATTCATCTCTTACAAGTTTATGAAATGTGCTTTTTTTTAAAAAAAAAAAATTATTGAGAAATTATAAAAAATGATGATGTAGATTCTTTAAATATTGCATTTGGTAAAGAACATGTTATGTTTGACAAGGAAAGGAATTGATTTGAGTTTTCAGCAGAAACCAAGTAAAGGAGTTGAGGAGGAAAATATTCCCTAAAACTAAAATATGAAAGAAAATCACATCCTCCTTTTCCTTTTGTCTAAGATTATAGTAGCTTTGATTAAGCTTCATTTTTTCTCTTTTATTTAGCTCTTGTTTAAGAATTGCGCATTGCGGCCCAAAAATAGATTGATTAATTTTTTTTTTAATTTTTAAATTATTTTGATGTGATGGTCTTACAAATAAATTTTAAAATATAAAAAATAATATTATTTTAATATATTTTTAAATAAAAAATATTTTAAAAAATAATAAATAACATATTTCTAAACATTTACTAAAAGGTTTATCATAATTGTGAAATGGGTTTTTGATGTATCGATACGTTTGTGTTCATCCTATCTCATCATTTTGTTTCTGCATGCAACCAACATTTAAAATCTCTTGTCAATGGTCCTAAACCCACAAGTTTCGGTTTCCAGCTTGTTTCTGCTTTTCGTCTGCTGCAGCTATCCAAGTAGATGTGTGCTGCATCAATGAACTTAAAAATTTGTTTTGGTGCCATGCTTCATGCTTTTTTAACAAAGACTATGATGCAGCCTAGGCCATGACCCTCTCAAAACCTATAGAAATATCACTACTTCCTTTGACAAATATGCTTTTCGTCTTGCACATTTTATCCACACTTTTTTCTTTGGGTAGCTTTCTGACTGCTTCTATTTCTTAGCACAAGGACCATTGTTGAGGCCATTTAGCTGCACATACCATATCCGACCTTGCAGCATAGCGCAGGCAACAAAGCTAGCGTGTGTGTGTGTGTAATTCAAGTCAATGGGATACTAAATCAATAGGAGGATAGTTGTCTAGCTACTACTTGGAGTATCTATTGTAGGAGTGCCTGTCACGAACTGAACGTGCAAGTATGGTATAGAAACAAGTTATGCTGGATTATTATTATTATTATTAAGAAGTTTAACCCTTTGTATTTTCCAAAATCAAGATTGTCATCTCATAATTTGATTATTATATTTTCAATTTCTAAATTTGACCTCTTGGATTATGGCACCGGTCAAGCGTACCAAGAATTAGGATTGCAAATAGAAATAATCTTTCGGAGCACTAAATTGGCGTACTCCAATTTAGAGCTTGTCTTCCGTATTCATCTATCTCCTCTAAGAAAGTAATCGCGTAAATCAAACATTGCAAACAAGTTAACTGTCAGAAGAGAGTGATTGTTTTAGTAACACAGAGAAAGAAGGATCTTTACCAGAATTATGTTGTACAATGCATTCCTCTGCTACAGCTTGCACATTCACAAACATCCACTAATCATAGCACCTCAGGTACATAACGAAGAAGAAGCAGATTCTGACCAAACACTTCTTTCTAAAGTGCCAGTCGCTCTCTTTCGAGACAAATCCTGTAACTCAAGAAGACAATCCTGAAGTGAAGCCAAACCACAGATACTGTGACGTACAATCTACCACATTGAAGGTACATAAACCTGTTCTTTCAGGTTTTGTGTTGCACTTTCAGTTGGAAAACCTCTTACTGCACCTATTGTCCATTGCGATATAATTCCTGCTGCAACTGCGAAACGAAGCTGCCTTTCGCAAACATCTTGATCTTCAAACATCTCAGGGCAAGTAGTAAGCTTTCTCATAAGAGCAGCCACAATAGCATCACCAGATCCAGTCCTATCACAAGTGAATGGGGTTATTAGCACATCTTCTGTTCCTGTCACTTTACCATCAAAATTAGGGCCATAGTAATGAATCTCAAGTGTTCCATCAGTCACAAACAAAAACTTAAGTCCATCATGCCACAACGGAGCGATTTCCTCACGGGTGTAATGATAACAGTCTCGCCAATTCTTGGTTTGCTCATAACTTTCAGCATAGTATTGTGGCCTGTAATTCCTCTTCCTCTCGTAATACTCTTCATCCAAGAGAAATTCCAGCTCTGTTCGTGAAACCTCAATAAAATTCGCTTCCTTCATTGCTTTCTTGATAACTTCCCTAGTCTCATTGCGTGATTTCCACAAAGGCAGTGGCAAATTCAAATCATAAAATATAAGCCCTCCAGACTTCTTAGAAAGTCTAATTGCTTTAAGAAGTGTCGATTGCAGGGAAGGTGATGTTAGGGCTTCCGAATTGAAATGGAACATCCTCGCCTGCATTGGATACATCAGAAAATAAATTACTTGTTGACGAGTCACAAATTCAGTCCCCACCAGGCATATTCAAATACCTTTTCTTCTCTCTCTTTTTTTTCATGAACAAAGGGATACCTTATATGAGAAGGTAGCATTGCGCAATCCATTTCTAATATCCCTTCATTCATCTAGTTATCAAAACAGGGAAGCTAGTGACATCTTTGTACATATGGTAACTGACGCAGCCGCAGAGCTACTAAAATGATTATAAAAACACACACACACGCACAATCATATCTAATTCAATTCACATTTGTGCACAACTGCTTTCGATACAAAAAGTTGAGAAATTTTCCGATTATATCAAACGTGGCAATCAAGAACCTATTTAGCTAGCTAAACCTCAGCAAAACAGAACAAAACGAAACAAAGAAGAACAAATTTTAGCAACTGTTTTACCTCTTTAAGCACAGAGAGGTTCAATTCAGAGCTAAGCAATGAATCCTCAGCAGCCTCCTTAACCATCTCCATCCTCATTTTCCCATCATCACCAAACTTAACCTTCATAAAACTACACGCCGTTTTCACGTTCTCATCAAACTTCACCGCCCGCGTCTGCACTCTTTCCTTATTCATCATCAACACCAACTCCTCTCCCAACTCATCATCCCCAACTTTCCCCATAAACGCCGCCCTCCCACCAAGCCTCGCATGCGCTATTGCCACATTGGACACTGGCCCACCTGGAGCCCTCGCAAACTCAGGTGGGTCCCATTGCAACATCTTCCACTGCGAATACATATCCTGGTGCATAGGATTATCGTGTACCCTCACCGTAGGTACAAATTCCTTCTGCACCGCACCAAAACAGCAAACCAACGGCGGATACTCGTAAGGAAAATCAATCCCATCATCATAATCTTCACCATCCAACAGTTCCGTATCACTAACACTCCCATTTTCAGCTTCAGTTTTCTTTGAACGTTTGGTGGCGGTCCCCTTAGTTGCTGTATCAGTAGTGGGAGTTGTAGCAGGTTTCTTTTTCCGGCCACGGCGCGAAGGAGGTGGGGCGTCAACAGCCCCATTTGTGGCAGACGCTTTTGGTGGGTTTAGCTTGATTAATGGAGGGTACTTAGCACTATTATGAAAAAAAGGTGGTGGTTTAGGTTTTGGAAATTGTGGGTTTGAGGGATTATAGTGTGGAAGTAGAAGAAAACAAGCCATGGTGGTGGGTTTAGCGGCTCAACGGTTTTGTTTTTTATTTTTTCAGGGTTTATCCATTTTTGTCTCCGAAATTCTACCGGGTCGTAAATCAACTAATTCGGGTCGGGCAGACAGATTTTTCGGATCCTTTATCCAACGGCTTGTAAAAGCTGCCGGATATGTAAGCAAGACCATGGTGACCGTACGATTGAAAAAGTTTTTTATTTTTGGAAAACCTCGTAAAAGTCCCCAGCCTTTAGGGGCAGAATAAATTAGGTCCTCAACTCTTTTTTCTCTCCCTCTCTCTCTGTCTTGGCTGGGTCTCTAATGTATTAATAAATTCTCAATAATCCCTTCATCATTTTCAATTAATAAAAACATTAAATAAAACTTACACAATTTCTATTCTTTTTTTTTCTTTTTAAAAAATCATTTTCTTCTCTAAGTTCTCATTTTAAACCTCTTGATAAGCCGAATTGTGTAAAAAACTTAAATTTCAACATTATATAATTATATAATTAATTAATGTTCTATCATGTGTAAAAAATCTTCAATTGTCAACACATATAGTAATATATGTTCAATTATTTATTTAATTTTAATTAGACGATGTGAATTGACACCTCTTATATCCTCAAGATAAACATTATTAATTTTTTTTGTTCTTAATTGAGGGAAGAAAAATCATGTGACTAATTTCCAATATTATTAACTAAAAGAACTAATAGAGGAATCTAATTAAGAATTCATTAACTTATTAGGGATCTAATTGAGATAAAAAGAATAGGCTGGGTTCTAATAAAAAATAAACTTACATGTTGGGGACTTTATTTATTTATCTATTTTTTAAGGTTTGCCGTCTTTCGTGTGAATACCAACGAGAACTGAAGAATCAAAGGAAGTCGGAGATTCCTAGTTATTTCCTTCGTGGGTTTTTCTGTCGAAGAAGAAGGAGAAGAAAAAAGAATCTTTATGTTTTTATTTTTTCAGCTGCTACTCTCTGTTCATCATCTTCGTTGATAGTATCTGGAAGAAAGAGCCGTTTGGGTTAAAAGGTGAAGAATCTCCCTCCCTCCCTCACCATCTATCTATTTATTGTTCTGAACACAAAAACAGCTCTGTTTTGGGTTAAAAGGCACTGATTGGTAATCGTTTTGGGTTCTGAAATCTCTCTCTCTCCCCCCTTTTGTTTTCTTGTTTTAGCTTCGATGAGATTAAAGCTTACAGTCAATTCTGAGTGAATAACTGAAACAGCCCCATGAGATATTAGCGTCTAATAATTTGATCAAGGTTGGATATTTATCAGAAATTCTGATTAAGATGGTTTTTTGTTTTATGAATCTTGTTGTCTTGTTGTAAATTAGTATATTTCTGAAGCTGTTGATTGAAATCTTACATATACTTGAGTGGAATTTAGATTGCTTTAGCTCAGGGAAGCAAAGAAAAGAAGATGGTTTTCGCACATATGCTTGTGTTATTTGCAGGGTGATAGACACTCTGAGTTTTGCCACATGAACGTTATTGGAAAACAAGCAAAAGATACATAAACTCATGATACTTGTTTGATGCTATTGCTGGGAATCAAATTTATGTTTGTCCTACAAGTGTATTTAGGATAAACCTGTGTAATCATAGCAGTTAAAATGTGTTTGTCCTGAAAATTAGAAAATTAACCTTGGTATCTTGCAGATAATGGGTTTATGGACTTTTCTGGAAGGTATTCTGCTTTTCGCAAATGCATTAGCCATACTGAATGAAGATAGGTTCCTCGCTCCAAGGGGATGGACACTGGCAGAACTCCAAGGAAGCACAAGAAATTCACTCAAGGGGCAGATTATTGGGCTCGTACATGCTTGCCAGTTTATGAGACTACCGCTTATACTTCTAAACATCATCGTTATCATAGTGAAGCTGTTCTCTGGTTGAGGTTGAGGATGAAAATAGTTCATAGCTTGGCAAGTGTTTAGTGTTTGTACAGCGAAGTATGACGATCTCGTTCTTTCCCACTCAAGGGTTGTGCTGTGCACACCAAAGTCCCAGAGTTTTTTCTTTCTTTTTTCTTCTGTACAACAGAACAGTAGCTGTTTCTCTAGTAACTTACCTGTCACCTCTTCTTTTGTATCTTTCATCCCTGGCTGTTTTTGTCCATCTACTCGTTAACCTCAATGAAATTACTAAACTAGAGTGTTACATTTAAGATCACTGGAAGGAGACAGGATGAAATGGATGTTCTTTTGAATCAGGAGTCAGCATTGTCTAGGGATGATGGCAGTCTTAGCAGTGGTCATCCTCTTACAATCCAATGGTAATAGATAGAAGGAACAAGTAATTTATTACCACTGCTTTCAACTGTCAATTAAAGTATAAAATGTGAAGCAGATTGGCTGCAATATGGATACTGAAAAGTAGGATCGATCTTGCCTGGAACTTGTAAGTTTAAACCATCCATCCCTTGAAAGGACTAGCTAGCATTACATCGTTTGAGGAATAACGTGTTTTCATCAGGAAAAGAAAGGAAGAAAGTGAAATTGCCCAGAGAAATGGTTGCTGCTGGACATAGCAGTAGAAAACACAATTTCAAACATCGAAATAGATTAAAGCAACCTAATTAGTCTTATGGATAACAACATTCATTATTTATCTGGAAAAAACTTTTCCTATAAAACACTAACAGTAGGACTTGAATCAATTGACATCAGAACCCTCACAACCACCATATCTTTGGGCTCACTCAATTGGGATCATAACCTCATTAGTCCTCAAAGGCGGCAAAGTCCAGGGTGGATTATACCTTGCCAGCAAAAATTCTCCAATCACCTTAAGCCCATCTCTCTCCAAGCTCTTCTTCAGCTTCTCCACTCTTTCTGCCACCGCCTGCTCGGTTGCCACACCTCCAAACTTTACCACCCCATATTTCCTCACCCCTTCTTCCTTTATCACAACCCTCTCATCCACAGGCTTGGGTGCCTCCTCTGCTTTCTTATACTTAGCAGGCAACACAAACTGCATCGTCACCATCTTTTCCCCCTCTCCACTACCCTCTTTAGTCACAACAGGAGCTGTCATCGCAATCTTTTCACTTCCACCACCAGTTTTAGTTATAACTGGAGCTGTCATGGCTATCTTTTCAGGCTTGGTGTTCTGTGGATTGCCCAAGGCACCAATATAATTAGCCAGAACCATGAACCCACCATCTTTCTTCCCATCGAATTGAGATGGATCATATGTGACTTCTGCAAGGACTGATGGAGCATATTTGCGGATTTCGTAATCATTTGAGGATTGAATCACTTCATATTCTGGAGTTTCTACAGTAATCCTTCCAAGAACCATTCCCATTTCAAGAAGCTAAGCTAAAACTATTGGGTTGTGAGAAACAAGACCTGGATAATAGAAATCAGGGAGGATGTGGTAGTTTTTGTAGGGTTTAGCAAAGCAGCTTCTCATATAAAGTAGTGGATCGTTCGTGGTACCTGTGATTGGGACTGGATGATGTTGCTTGGAGAAGGGGGTCAGATCTTTGGTTTGGAATGTTTTAGTGGAGGGAATTTGAGGATGCGTTTGTGGACAATATTTGTCCACCATTTCAAGAGAGAAGAGGAGCTTACCATTTCACATTGGCACCGATTCACAGCTCATGTTAAGGTGGAGGCAGAGTTGCCACGTAGCTACAAGAGTGTTTTTGCTAGTTTTTTTTTTTTTTCAATACAAGTTTTAAAAATTATTCATTTAATTATTATATTCGGGTTTAGTTTTTATAAAAAATAATTAAAAAAAATATTTTTAAAAAAATCATAATTAAATCAAAATCGGTTTAAACTAATTAGTTTTAGTTTAGTTTTGTTTGGCTTTTTAAAACAAAAACCAGTTTAAACTAATTTGGTTTAGTTTTTTAATTTGACTCGGTTTTTTCTGGTTTAGCTAGGTTTTTTCTGATTTTTTTTATTTGATTTCGGTTCGGTTCGGTTTTTTTCAGTTTCAAACTTATAAAACTAAAGTTCTGTTCGGTTTGGTTTTTCTCAGTTTCAGGCTTATAAAACCAAAATTAAATCAATTGAGTTTTTTAAATTTTAATCAATTTTTTTTATTTGTTTTTTTTATTTGTTTTTTTTTTAATTTTTTAAATCAATTGAGTTTTTTAAATTTTAATTAATTTTTTTCTATTTGTTTTTTTAATTTTTTTACTCACCTCTAATTTTATCATAGGGTACACTTAGGCATGATTTCAAATTAATTTCAAACACATAAAAAAAAAGTGATTTTATTAATAAATTGTTTGATATCATTAAGATTCTCAATTAAAAACTAGAAGGTGTCACTAGCTTTTGACTTTTTTTTTAGTTATTCAAAAATAAAAATGGATATTTGTATGAAAAACATAATTTATATCATGTAGAAAAATAAATTTTTTAATATTCATGTATTTTTCATTTTAAAAAATGTTTTTTTTTATAGCAATGTGGTTTATTGAGTACAAAATGAAGGCGATTAAAATATAAATTTGAAAAAATTATATTGAGTTGAAGTAAGAAGAAAAAAATAGATTATCATTTTTTTTATTCATGTGTTTTTTCTTTTTTATTTAAAAAAACATTATTTTTCACTAGAAGTATTGTTTTTAAATTAAAACTTAACACAATCTTAAAAGTATATAAAAAAAAATCATAAATAGATAATTTTTACACATTTTTGAGAAAAAACCGTATACACATTTTACAATTAAAAAGTAAATTTGAGAAAAAACCGTATACACATTTTACAATTAAAAAATAGATGTTTTATTGACATTTTTTTTTAATAAAAAGATATGTTTTAAAAAACTAACCATATTAGGTTTATATATAGTTATTAAGAAAGCAATTGTTAATATTACATAGAAGCTTTAATATTATTTTAAACTTATGAAAAAAATAGATAATTATTTAAATATCATTATAATAAATTTTATTATAAAGTATAAAAAACTATAAAAATATAAAACATTTAAGGGCCATTTATAAAAGGCTAAGGCACGCCAAGGCTGCATAGTTAGGCTCGTGCCCCTAGCCTAAGCTTGTAAATGCCAAGCATGATTGTAACTTGCTGACCAAGCCCAATAGCCTTCGTTTTTACATAATAACTTCCTTCCCTACACACACACACACACACACACACGCACACCTCTCTCTCTCTCTCTCTCTCTCTCTACACACACACACAACACACACGCAGAGAGAGAGAGAGAGAGTTAGAATCCAAGTTTTTGAATCATCAAAACTCAAATTTCAATTTTTTTTAACCCAAAAATATAAAAAAATATATTATATATATATTTAAAATCTTATTCCTAATCATCAAACACATTTTAATTAGATAAAAAACTCAAACTCAAATCAAATTAAAAAACTTTCTCGATATACCTTTTCAAGTATCATCAAATATAGAAACCATCTTCATTGATTTTTTTTATTTAAAAACACACCTCAAGATATTAAAATTGTAATTATTTGTAAATAAAATTTAATTATTTGAGAGCTTAATTTATTTTCTTTTTCTTTGTTTTTTTTAATTTTTTATAATGATATTCATCTAATGACTAAAACATAAAAAATAAACTTAAAGACGGAAACGTAAAAATCCTATAGAACATAGACTAAAAAGTGAAACTTAAGGGATCAAATTGAACATTTTTGTACCATTTGAATAGTGTAAGTAGGATAAGGTTCTCTTATTTTCAATGTAAATAATGCTCTTTGGTATTTTGATTTTTGTTTTAAGAACAACCTATTTAATTTCTAGAAGAAATATTCAACAAGACATTGAGTATGTGAGCACACGCAAATCTATGAGCCCGTTTGGCTATGAGGTAGAGGTTGTGTTTCTTAAAAAACGTACTGAGCAAATGTTTGGTTAAGAAAAAAAAACTGTTTACTATGCATGGGTCCCCTAATTTATTGCGTGCGAGATGCAGGGAAATGGAAAGCAGCAAATTGCTGCTTTCTGCTTGGCAAAACTAAGGCTATTGTTCAGTGAACAGTAGAGCATGCCTCTACTGTTCACTAAATAGGTTTATTTATTTATTTATAAATCAGTATATTTAATTGATTTCACTCGCACTGTTCACGTGAACGTGAACAACAATTTTTTTTATTTTTTTAAAAATTAGTTTAAGGTGAATTAAATTTACTCATACTGTAATCTTAATTTTATTCTTGATAATATTTTATCTAATTTTGTAGTTCTTGTCGGATGAATTTTGTACGTAATGGAATTGTAGATAATTTTTTGTTAAAGTAATTTTTTAAAGTGTGATCTATTTCATGATGTAATAGCAATAGTTAAATTCATAAAATTTAAATTACAAACCATCAATATTAATATATATTTTTAAAAATTATTTTATAACCTCAATTTTAAAAGCACTTTTAATCAAACACATTAAACTGTTTTTTCTTTAACTTCAATTTCAACCACAGTTTTAACTAAACATCTATTTTTTCAAATTAACCTCAACTAAAAGTACTTTTTATAAAATAACTTTTTTCATACCACAATCACAACAGTTACCGCAGTACCAAACATACTCTATATAAACAAGAACAAAAAGAGCCATATAAACTTAGCTTTAATGAAACTTAGCTTGAAAGGAGAGGACATATTGAAAAAGAAATATTTTTTAGTGATTGAAGTGTAAAGAGATCAAAGTTTCAAGGACCAAAAAGGAAAAAGTGGCTAATGAACAATGAGACTTTTAGTTTGTATGGTAATTATATTAGTTCATCAAGTAATATGTAAGTTGTAAATTAGTCCTCATGTTTTTTCAGAACAAATTGAATAATCCTTCTAGTTTTAAAAACTAATTAGTTAATTCATTGACCAATGTTGACTATGATTAATTTAATATTGTTGTTCAAAAAAATATGTTCTTCTTTAATCAATCTTTTAATATTATCTATTTTTTTTTGCCTTTATATTTCTTAAAAAAAAATCATAATAATTGAACAAGAACATGAAATGAGAAAAAAATAATCTAGTTCTAAATAGATTTTAAAACATAGGAATTAATTAATCATTTTCCAGATAGAAGGACTAATTTATAATTTATTTTTTTATATATTATTTCACGGGGAATGAATTTTATTGTTCTCAGGAATCATATCAATTTTAATATAATTACCAAACTCAATTTAAATGGATGTAGTATATGTGGAGTTATTGATATT